GTAGCCCAGGCTGGCCTCGAACTCACAGAGATCCGCCTGGCTCTGCCTCCCAAGTGCTGGGATTAAAGGCGTGCGCCACCAACGCCCGGCCGACTTCTACTTTTCAATACAACTTTTAGGCATTTATCTTAAGCAAACAATACAAGGCTGCTAATGCAAAAAATTCACACACATTCAAGTGTTCTGGAGAAATTTTGGAAACTACTTTTATGGCCAAGGTAAAGAAACACTTAAAAAATTATGATATGCCTATAGAATTAGTGAGGTTGGGGAAAATATTGAGTGGCAAGATGTGATTTATGTGTTTATAAGAAATTTACATTCAATATAAATATATTGAATGTACATTTAACATTGAATATATTCAGTATGATTCAGTATTTGCTTTAAAATGCACTAATAGGCAGTAAAATAAATGCTTATTTTAAAGAACTTGGGTGTATTTAATATTCATTCATTTTTTAAAAAGAAATCTATTTGTAAAATAAAAAATATCTACAAGTCTGATTAATTTCTCATAACTTGAAAATACTAACATGAGAAGAGAAACATGAAATATTTATATTGTTGATAGGCATAAATTTTACAGGAAGAGCATTTGACAAAAGACACTAATATATATAAGCCAAATAAATACCCCTAGAAATACTAAAAATACTTAAAAGTACTTTCTTCATAATAATGACCATACTGGGGCTCCAAAGTATGGTCAATACGAGAACCATTGAAAAGTATAACTGAAATTATATCTTATCCATAAAAAGGAAATTTTAAAATGTGCATATTTAATATTTGGAAGTAAAAAAAACCTCAAATAGTGAAAATATCTCAAAATGAAACATATATTTCATCTTATGCTTTTGTAGGTATGTTTGTTTTATGCACACAATCCACATGTTTGAAATTTTATGTTGTCAAACTGTTGAGTGGTATTTTATGTTTACTTAGTGAGGATACTTTAAGTACTTCTATTAATTTAATAAATATATATGATTTAAATAAGTCAAAACAAAATCTCTGATTATTCTGAAAAATTACAGGTATGCAAAAGTAAATGTCATATACACTCCAGAAAATTGACCAGATGTTTAAGACTTCTGGCTCTTGTGTTATTCTGAGGGGAAAATATGACTACCTTGCAAAAAAAAATTGACCTGCCTTTACACTTCAATTTCACTTTGAACAACATTTGATCAGAAAAAACATCTTAAATATAAGGGGAGATTCTTTAGGTTGGACTTAAGAGCACTGATATAGATAAGGAAAAAAGTCACATTAGTTAAAGAAAGAGGAGCAGTGAAAACATAATACATATCCCTGAATCTGTATGTAAATGTTGATGTAGAAGCATGCACACATCTGCAGCCCATCAATTTGGCTCATTCATACATTGGAACACTACACAAGCACAAGATATATTTTAAAAGAATATTTAATGACAATGAAAGGAAGTTCAAGAATATCTATACATCTATGTCTATAATCTATATTATATTTTTATGCATGAAAAAGCAGGTATTGAAATATATATATTAAATACACATATATTTCACATGAAAAACACTGGGCACATACAGATCAGTACAAGTCAAGAAGGCATGGGAGTCATTAGGACTGATTGCTGATAGCATTCAATTTCTTAGGTTAAATCATCTACTTAGAGATTTTTTTTTTCCTGCAACATAGCTGATGTATTTTTCTGGCAAGAGGGAAAAGGAAAGGAAGCAGGAATGCAGAAAAGGGGTGATTAACAGCTTTCAATTCCAGTGAAATAACGACAGTGAAATACCATTTGCAGCTCATGACGCTGCACGCATTTGCAGCTCATGACGCTGCACGCGCGCGCTCCTACACACACACACACACACACACACACACACACACACACACACACACACACACACACACGAGTTACAGTGGACCATGAGACTGTGCAAGGGAGATGGGCATACTCGGTTCTTTTTTTTTTTTCTTTTTACTAGCTGCACTGGCTGGCTGGCACAAATACAAACTGGTACAATGCTTATGAAAGGGAAGCCTTTTGGCAACACACAGGGGAAGTCTTTGAAACGTCTATATGTGGTTGCTGCAAGTCCACAGTTAAGGAGAGACCATCCAGGATGCTAGCCTAGATTTGGCTCGACAAGGAAGGATTCGCTCATCAGGGCACGCAGTGTTGGTTTTTTAAACACAGGGAAAGAACTAGGCACCACCTGAATGTCCAACAATGCGGGAATGATTACAGAAATGTTAAGGTCCATGGATACACAGGAGCACTCTGCAGGCACTGAAGATGACGTTCCATAAGCCTGTTGAATAGCATGGAAAGAAGTTCAACGCGTTGACTTGTGTTTGGTTTTAGTCGCTGAAAAAAGCAGGTTAAGAAACACCACGTACATGAACCACTCTACAAGAATATGTTAAAAGGGAAGGTGGGTCTGGGATGAGAGGGGGAGAAAGGGGTAGCAGAGAGCCTGGAAAAACAGCACACCAAAGAAGGTAAAAGAGGTTCTCTCTGAGTATTAGGATGATGGGAAGCAATTGCACTCTTGGTTCTTTCTCCCACATCAGACAGACTTCCTTCTCCTTCCAGATATTTCTACCACGGAATTGCATCACCTGTGCAGTAAACAAAGAGACAGAGAACGCTTTTAAGAATCAGACTGACCACAGGGAGAAGAGGCAGCCTTTAACCTCTCAAATGGCACAGATTAGTGGGATTATTGGGGCAGGGGAGCTTTCTGGAGGTGGGGAGAAAGAGAGGGAGAGGACAGAAGCAGCTGGAGGGGGAGGGGCGGAGAGCAGAGAGGGGATGGGGCAGCTAGCTGGCGCTGGCAGGGGAGGGGGGAAGAGGAGGAGAGGGGAGGGAGAGAGGGCAGGAGAGGGGGAGAAGGAAAGAGGGAAGGGGAGGGGGAGGGAAGAAGGGAGGGGGAAGGGGTGAAGAAGGAGGAAGAGGGAGAGAGAAACCTGCACTCCCAATACAATACACTGCTGGTGGGTTGGGGTGGGGTGGGGGGCTGTAAACGGGGTGGGAGCCAAGATTTGGCTCTACTGGCTGGGGCCTGGGATGTCTTCATCGAAAGGTGGCCTCGTCATCGGAGTCATCATCGAAAGCCCTGAAGTCAGCACTGGTGGACTGGCGGGCCCAGGCTTCTTCCCTTTCGGCCTCTCTCTCCTTGTGGGACTTGAACCTCCCCACGAAAATCTTGCGGTAGTTCAGGAACATTCCATTCAGCGCATCTATGGCCCGCTCGGCCGACTCCTGCTTCTGGAAGTGCACGAACCCGTAGCCCTTGGGCCCCTTCTCGTCACAGGCCACCTTGCAGGACAGGATGTTGCCAAAGGCCGAGAAGATGTTGTACAGCGCCTTGTTGTCGATGGTCTTGCCCAAGTTCTTGATGAAGACGTTGCCCACCCCGCTCTTGCGGAGCGACGGGTCCCTCTGGGACCACATGATGCGCACCGGCCTGCCATTGATAACGTCAAAGTTCAGGGTCTCCAGGGCCCGCTTGGCATCCAGCTCTTCCTGGTAGTTGACATATGCGTAGCCCAGGGAGCGCCGGGTGATCTTGTCCCTGCAAATGCGGATGGACACGATGGGCCCGGCGGGGCTGAACTTCTCGTACAGCATGGACTCGGTCACGTCGGGGTGCAGGTCGCCCACGTAGAGCGAGGCCGTGGGAAAGTCTGGGCGTCTGTCGGAGGCCCCTGCCGCCGCCTCTTCCTCTTCTGCAGCCAAGGCCGCCGCCAGCTCCTCATCCATGTCCACCCTCCCGTAGGAAGGCGACGCAGCAGCCTCCGCAGCGGCGCCCCGGGCCTCCCGGAGGCTGGCCTCCGCCAGGCTGGCCTCGGTGGCTGCCACCGCCGCCGCCTTCTTCCCCGCCAGGGCCACCGCCTCCCCCAGGCTGGCCTCCACCGCGGCCGCCGAGGCCTCGGCCTCCACCTCAGCCTCCACCTCTGCTTCCACCTCCGCCACGGAGGCCTCCGCCACCGCCTCCGCCACGGT